CAGCCCGGAAGTTATCCTTCCATCAGCCAGCTGAACCTTGATGTGGTGCGGTACAAACGATGTCCCAGAGACCACCCCGTTGTGGTCTACTTTCCACCGGCCCGCCGCTGACAGCCACAGACCATGTAACATTGCCGGCCTCTTTCTTCAGGCAGAGGACAACCACACCTAATTCCTTTCAATGATCCGAGTCCTCCGACTCCAGTTCCAAAAGATCAATCCCAGTAGCAGGGTTTAGAGTCAGAAATCTCAGCGCTGCTGCAGAAGCGCACCATTGTTCTAGTGCAGCCAAGGGGAAATCACCAGAGCTTCATGTTGACGTTCTTTCTGACCCCAGAGAAGGAACTAGGGAAGTGGAGGCTGATTCTGAACTTAAAGCCCACTCAAAATTTACATAAGACGAAAAAAGTTCAGAATGGAGATGCTGCGCATCGTCCTACGATCACTTCCGGTCCCGGCTTGGGCGTCGTCCATCGACTTACAGGACGCCTACTTTCACATTCCCGTTCATGAACAAAACCGCCCGTTTCTCTTTTGTTCATATTGTCACCTGGTCCACAAGTTCCCCACCCTGCCTTTCGGCCTGTCCACCACTCCCAGAGTATTTACAAGGGTGGTCCGAGCGGTGGCAGCCCACCTACAATGCACAGATGTGCTCATATTTCAGTACCTCAATGACTGGTTGATAGTTTGATGCTCCGAAGTCGAGGCTACGTTGGTGACCAAGACAACATATGACCTTGCATCTAGCCTGGGTTTCGTAATCAACGACAAGAAGTTCAGACTGACCCTGTCACAAACACCGACTTTTCTCGGGGCAGTTCTCGACTTGAACCGCGGCATTGTTACTTCCACCAACTAGCACATGGACAATCTCATGCAGTGCATCGCTCTGTTCAGGGGACAACGCCAAGCAAATGCCCGGGCATGGCTCCACTTACTCAGTCTGATGACCAGCCTTATCGACCTCGTCTCATGGTGCCGGCTTTATGTGTGACCTCTACAGGTCCACCCTCTATCTTACTTCAGGCCAAGCAGAGATTTCCTCGATTGCCAGGTTCCTCTTTTGGGCCTGATTTACTGTCACATGTCGTGGTGGTCAAACAGAGCCAACCTCATTGCCAATCTCCCCTTTGTTCCACCTCAACACGAGATAGTTGTCACCACCAACGCTTCCCATCTCGGTTGTGGTGCAGTCTCCAGTCGCATAAAATTTCCGGCTGGTGGGGTTCATCCCTAGTAGGCGCCCACATCAATGTGCTCGAACTTCAGGCAATTTTCGAAGCCCTCAGCCACTTCTGGCCTATGATTACAGGCAAAACGGTCTTGGTTTGACGGCCGTGGCCTACATCGATCTTCAGGGAGGCACACGTTCTCCCACTCTCTGCTTCTTCGCCTGGCGCCTATTACACTGGACCATACAGCATTCCATTCTGGTTCAAGCCGAACACATTCTAGGAGTACAGAACGTCCTTGCTGACGCCCTCTCCCGGGGCACAGTTCGCCAGACAAAGTGACCCTACAACTGGAGATTGTTCAAGCTCTTTTTTGGGTGATAAACAGGCCTCATGTGGACCTCTTTGCATCACACCTGAATGCTCAGCTGCCGACATTTTGCAGCTGCTATCCACATCCCCAGGTATGGGCGTTCGATGCCCTACGCATTTCTTGGGAGGGTCTTCTTGCTTATGCTTTCTCTCCGATATCACTCATTCTATTGGTACTGACAAAGATCAAACAATGCAATTGCCGCGTCCTTCTCATCGCCCTGTTCTGGCTGAGACAAGTGTGGTTTCCCCAGTTAGGCTTCTGATCAATGTTCCCCTACTACTGCCTACACATCCAAATTTGCTGTTTCAACCCAGGTCTCGTCTACTGCATCTGGACCCCATTCACCTACACTTAACTTGTTGGACGTTGTCAAGCGATCCTTTGGGCAGAAAGGCCTTTCTCAAGACGCTGCCGCCTTGGCTGCCAAGGGTCAACGAGAGTCCACGAGGAAGATTTACGACAGCCGATTGCGACATTTTGACTCGTGGTGCAATGATCGGCGGATCCAACCATTTCCCCTCTTTCAGTCGTGACCAACTTTTTTGTTCATCTTTTCCATTCTGGTCTCTCGTCTCCACAATTCAAAATTACCACTCGGCGATCACGGGGGCTTTGCTGATGGCTCTTCAATATCTAATGACACAGCGATCCATCATCTCTTATGGGGAATGTTTATTGAACGGCCTCACCTGAAGTGTCTTGTTCCTGTGTGGTGTCTCGGCGATGTCCTCTGACTTCTGTCTCAACCCCCCTTTGAGTCAGCAGGCCGTGCCTCCCTCCTGCACCTCGGCATCAAACTGACATTCTTACTAGCTGTGGTGACTTCTTGTCGGGGTTGCAAAATTAAGGCTCTATCCATAGTCGAGGGTCACATTCGATAAGAGCTTTTGGGGGTACGTCTTGTTCCGAAGTTAGGCTTCCTTATTAAGAATCAAACACCATCCTTCCATCCCCGGATATCTTCGTTCCAGTGATCCAATCCTTGGCATCATCATCGTTGGATAAACTTTTGTGTCCTGTCCGCATGCTGAAATGGTACCTTGTTAGGACAAAGGATATTTGGGGACCAATTACACAACTATTTGTCACTTCTACCCGACCTCACCATGCAGCCTCCATAGATACAATTGCAAGGTAGGTCATTTCAGCTATAAAATTTGGTGACGTGGATTGGCCTTCTGGCTCTGACGACCAAAGTGTAAGGCATATTCGTGCCCATGATGTCCGTGACATTTCATCCTCATGGGCCTATTTCAAAGGGGTTCCCGTAATAGAAATTTGTAACGCTGCTTGTTGAAAAACCCCCTCCACATTCACCTCCTGTTATCTCAGTGATGATTGGCAGGGGGAGCATTCACATGGACTGGCTGTGCTCCAGACGGAATGGTAGTGGCCAACTGCCAGCCGTATTTTGCTTGTTCAAGAGGAGACAACCGCACATTTGTCATGGTGAGTTAGTTTGTGTCACGATGTGTCATTTGCTGTGTCTCATATATAATTAATACTTGTATTAACCTGCTTCCCTCCTCAGTGGTACATAGATGTGGTTAGTGCATCCTCGCCTTCCCACCGTCCACAAGTTCGGTGCTATTCTGCATATATATTGGTAATCTGCGTAGGTTGCAGGCAGTAGACTTTCCCCCCTCCTAATGCGGGTTGAATCTATTACTGCATACCTACCTGATTACCAATCTCCCTCCCTCCTGCCCATACGGCCTTGGTACACTTTGCGCATTGAAAAAGAGGATGGTCATGGCTGACGCCTTCGGGAGGGGCGAGTGAGTGAGGGTGCACTATTAGTGATCAAGATTTTATTGAATGGAAGTAATGGACTAGGAAATAATGCATATGTATTGGTAATCTGGTAGGTATGCAGTAGTAGACTCAACCCACATTAGGTGGGGGGAGATTTTTTGGGTGTTCAAACACATGTCAAATTAAAGCTCACTTCCTCATCTTTCATTTTCTTTTCAGTTTTCAGCAACTAAACCAGTGACTTTTGCAGATATTCCCCTTCAGAGAAAATTACCCCTCCAAACAGTGATGAGGCCCATCACCATTTTGGAAATTGATGCCTACACTCCATTGGAAAATAGAGTGTTTTGGAGGGCTCCCTTTGGTTTGATACTTTGAGAAATACAAGCTGGCAGTCCTGCTAGTACATGTAGACTCCATCCTCCTCCTTAACAGATCACCCAGTCCACATGCCACAAAATGCTCTAATAGCACAGAATTTGACAACGTGCAAATTTTGATTCGGTCCATGCAGGTAATTTTTGACCTACATGTATTTACTGGCCTACAATCATCAGGGTTGGGAATCTCCCTGGTTTAATCGGAATTCCGTTTTTTTCACCTTCAAATTTGTGGTCTCTGAGTTTACTGTAAAAATGGAATAAAATTTGGGGGGTAAGTTGTAGGGGGGTAAATGTTAGTTGACCACGCGACGCTCAAAACTTCTTTAAAACTGAGTGACATTTGTATGTTGAAACAATTTGATTTACATGACGCTTCGGGACCCTTCAAAAAGTATGAGGAATTAATTTTGTAGATTCCCACAAAACCTGAATTCTCTTTGCGTGACCAAAGGAGGGAACCAGTGAAGAGTGCTGTCGCTAGCTAGCGCTTTGCCACAGCCACTTCAAGTGAATGCCCTGTGTCCACAAAAATCAGACTCTTACCTGTTATTGGTTAATTCCTCTCACATGACTGGCCATTCTCCTAATTATCATACATACACATGTGCATTACTCTGAATGGGTCCATATTTCATAGAGACATCAATTTTTGACAGGGCTGTAAGGCTCGAGGTTGCATGGCTGGCCATGTGCGAAGTGGCTTTTGAAAATTAGTACGTGTGCATGTACTCTACATGGTCGAAGTGCCCCGTTGTACGTACGTACATACATGCACTCAGGAAACAAAATAATCAAAATCATGGCAGAAGGAAGGAACTTGAAGTTCGTTGAGCGGGGGGCTGCCGATCCGAAAGAGATTGATATATCGGTAAAAAACAAGTGGAACTGGTTGTAGTGTGACAAATTATTACTGCTGAAATGGAAGATGAGCATGTGGTGGGCGACTGCTTTCGTAAGCTTTCCGACCCTGGAGAAGTACGGTACTTCTGGAGCGAAAGCATTGATACAGCATGCAGTTAAGTACAAGAAGCGCCGCATAGGAAGAGGGCTCAGCAGAAGGCACTGGAAGCCTACCTGCAAAAAGAAGGAAGCCCCACTTGACCAAGTTCATGAAGGTTCTTTATTCACAAGCTCTCAGCAAGCACAAAGTATACAAATCTTTTAATATTTCATATGAAGACCAATATCATGTCTCATTTCATCTTCCAGAATGTGTTGTAATCCAACAACCGTAGCCTAGTTGTTTGTGTTCATTCACGCTTGAACTGCAAGACCCTATGACTTAAAATTTTCTTTTGGGTTGTTTAATAGGCCTTCCCATAAGTGGCTTGCGTGAGATCAACTTGTTGATCAACTTACGGCATGAAAATGTGGTTGAACTGAAGGAAGTAGTGGTTGGCAGCCATCTTGACAGGTAAGTATCTGAATTATGAAATTTTGATCCCTATGGAGTAAAATCCAGACAAACCATTGGCTGTGAAAGTGATGTCACACTCGTACATATTACTACTCCCCAAACATAAGATATGTATAGATTTGTTCCGGCGATGAGAGTGGTTGAAAATGGTTCCATGCATACATTCCAGTGGCGGGACCATGAACCAGCATTTAGCTCCACTCACATTCAGCACATTGGACAACCCTCCCCCTTCCCCCGTACTTACTCATGCAGGGCAACTGCATTCGATTTGACACTCAAGTGTCATCTCGCATTTTCTCAGCCTGGCTCAAGTATTTGTATTCAGTTATTTTGTAGTAGACCTGTCATGTAATTCTGGCTCAGTGAGTTCTAAGAACAGCATGAAGGTGGATAACTACACTACATTTAATTGGAGGATATACTGTTTCTCTATTTCACAGTTAACACTTCAACAAATTTAAACAGGTGAACAGTGAATTGAATATTAAATTTCAAGGAAAATTATTACCTGTGATGTCCTTTGTTTACCTCTTTTTTTGGGGGGGGAGGGACTAGGATTTATGACAAACTCATTTAAAAGAGAAACCTGGGATTCATAAACCACTTTTGGTTTTGTTGACTGGTTGAATTTCAAGAAATTATTTCCATCAAATACTGTTGAAAAGCACTGACAAGATTGAAGAGCAGACGAAAAGGGACAGTGGCATGAGTGTTTTTAAAACAGCAATGTAAATTCGGATTGCAGAAACAGCGATCAGAGCATACTCGTGTTCCAGAAGCATATAGATGGGAGCACCAACAGAAGTCTAATAAGCCGGGAGGGGGGTCTATCATGGTTAGAGTGAAGAGAGTAGTGTATGGGAGCATACACAGTGCTTCAATGTCCCCACACAAAGCACATCTCCTACAATAATTGGTGCATTCTAGTACCATCGTGGCTACAATGCAGTAGACATGATACGTCAATTGTGGGAAAGATTACCGTTATCCATCATGTTTTTGCAGCCCAGCAACATCGCCAGTGCCAGTAACACGTGAATGATGCATGTGCGCTTGTAGCACATCACGTGATCAGTTCACGATCTGTGACTGTGTGGGATGTCCACACACTGGTTTCGATTGGATTAGTTCCAAAATCCTGTACTGGTTGTGTACCTAGATACTTGTAGTTTGTTTCTTTTTCATGAAAAAAATCCCTAAACGTGAAGTTTCACTGGTTGAGCTTCCTGCATGTACTATTAGATTAGCATAGAGCTTTTTCACCAGCATTAAGACTGACAGCTGTAGATCAAGAACTGAAGGTCCAAGATTGCCACCAAGACCTGGAGACCAAGGTTAAGAATGGGACTTGGAAACTTAGACCAAAGACTTAGGGACCAAGAGGTCTGGGACTGAGACTTGCAGGCCTTAATACAGACCTGCTTGTCTGAGACTGAAAGAAAAGCCTACTTGTCTGAGGCTAAAAACCTGGAGACTGGATTATTAAGTTATATATACATTCAAAAGTAAAGAGAAAAGAATGCCAGTGAGCATTAAATTATTTTTCTTTTCATTGTTGCATGACAGGTGCTTCGTGTGCCATTAGAGCGCATTCTTACGTGTTATGTAACGCGTTCCAATAGTGCAGTATATATTTCGGGAGTTGTTGATTCAACTCACTTGCCGTTGAGCAGCTGTGATCTACACTTGATAACCATTTCATTTCAATGTACACAAGATGATGTCGACCAACCCGGATCAGGCCTTAAATCAAGATATTTTGCTCACAATAAGGCAGTTGGCGAGTTGTATAGACGCTAAGGTCAAGTCTGCTTTTAAGAAGCAACGTATGGAAGGAGCCGATTTCTAGAGCGATGGCAATAAAGATCATTTTAAACACTTGCTTAACATTGAGGCATAGGCTGAATCCTCCATAGATTTGATCAACGTCAGTGACATCGAGGCAGCCAAGCAACTACTCCATGCCATACTCTATGCCGTCAAGCGACACAAAAAGCTCATCAAGCTGGCAGACCACTCACCACAAGAGAGTACGTTACCGACGTCCTCGCAGACAAGAAGAAGAAAAGACTTAAGAGAGCAGAAAAATCAGTGGCCATGAAGATGGTAGAGCTTGCAAAGAAGGCCAAGGCCTGGCCCCGTTGGTTCCCTACATGTCAAGCTGCTTCTCCTTTTTCTTGTTGTTCCTTCGGGGCTACCAACACCTACCGCCCTGAATTTTGGACATGTTTTCAGTGCAGGATCACAGTTCCTCCCTGGGAGCACTCCCCAGACAAGACAGCTCCTAGCAGTTTCTAGAGGAGCCTCTGACACAGCCCACCCATAGAGACTGAGAGCTGAAAGCAAACCTCACTAGTGAGACAACTAAGGATGCACCCTTAAGGGTTAAAGGTAAACTGAAACCTTGCGTTTCATGTTGGAAAGATTACCAAAAAGCTGGTTTCTTTATACTAGATGTCGTACAGTTTGGTTACAATTTGCCTTTTTATTTGGAACCCTCACCCGTTTGCCTGGAAAATAACAAATTTAGCTTGAATCATCCTCACTTTGTTGATTTAATTTGCAAACACGCATAGTTGAAACTCTTTCTGTTCCCTATTGCTGTAACCCACTGACCATGGCCGAAGAGAAGAAGCTCCTTTTGGTTCCTTCCTTGAGACACCCAAATAAGTTGCTCTGGAAAGAAAAATTCAGTATGAAGACCTCCATCATATTGCACCATCCCTAGATCGAGACCAATTCTATTTTTCTTGTGACCTATAGTCAGGTTACCACCGTGTTGATATTTTCCCATCCGTCAAAAATACGTGGGTTTTTCCTGCAGGGCTTCATCAAGATTCAGTATTGACATGTTTTGCTTTCACATTCCTTCCATTGGGTTTAAGCTGCACATGTCATTTGTTCACCAAGCTTAATAGACCATTAGTAAATTACTGGCGTAGACGGGAAATACTCGTCTACATGTATTTATAGATGATGGTCTCATACTATAAACCTGATCTTGATTCCACGAATTCCACTAGATCCATTTTTCAAGATAGGATTAGGCGCAGTAGTTTTGTCCTGAGCAAAACAAAGTGCTTACGGAGCTCTGCCCAGAGAATACAATATTTGGGCGTAATCATCGATTCCGAAACATTCCAGTTCAGTGTACCCATGGCAAAAATAGACAAACTTCTTTCTATAGTTTTGGCGATACATTTTCTTTCAATTCACAAAACTGAAAGACGCGTACCGGTAAAACTTGTCCCATGTTTTACAGGACAAATTCAGTGGCCCCAGCTTGAGGTCCAGTGGCTAGATTAATGACTCGTTACTCGTACAGAACTCCCAAATCTAGAAATGATTGGTCTGACACCGTGGTCCTATGAGACGCACCCATCTCTGAGCTCAAATTTTGGGCCAAAAACTTTTCAACTAAACAGCTATACCATCCAATTTCAACTCGTGCCTTCTATAACTGTCTATTCGGACACCAGCAACAACGGTGATAATGGTTTCGTGGCAAATTATCCAAACTTGAAATTTCACGGCACTTGGTCTGAGTCGGAGAACCTAAATAGCTCAACATGGCATGAGTTAGTTGCAGTCCATCATATACTATCCAAGATGCAGGGTCTGGTCGCCCTTGACATCATTAATTGGCAATAATTCAAATGTTCCTGCTGTAGTACTAACCCCAATTTACACTATCTTGCACTTGAGATAAGATGAGACAAAAGACAAAATACATCATTCTACTGGAATGGTTACCTAAAAACAAAAACAAACTAGACGATCAAATTAGCACGTTTGAAAATTTTGACAATTGGGCCATTGACAATGAATCATTCAAGCAAATAGATCACCTGAGCGGACCTCATACTATAGATTTGCTTCTCCACGCAACACACAGATTAAATAGTTTAACACAAGGTTTTGGTGCAAAGGAGTCAGTGACAAAGATGCCTTTTGCCAGAGCTGGCAAAATGAGAATTACTATTTCTATCCCCCCGTTTCCCTCATAATTCAGTTGGTTAAACACATTGTTGCAAATGAGGTAAATGGCACATTGGTCATCCCTAAATGGCTATCTGCTTCGCTCTGGCCGTTGTTATGCCCAGACGGCATACATTTCCATTCTAGGATAGTCGATTGGAGAGAAATGTACATTTCCCTTACTCTTCCTACATTGGGTTCAAATTTCGCATTCCAGGCGAGACTCTCTTTCTCCTGTTTGGCATTGAGGTTCGAGTACAACAAAACTTAGAATTCCCCGACAGTGCTTTTTATATATGAAGTTATAGATACCGCCAGTGCCTACCTGTGTGCATAATTGAAACGGATGTTTATATCCATGTGAACCATGAGTGTCCTGATCGCAGCTGGTTAGGCTTTTCCCTCTTTTCGTATTCTCAGGAGTGCAACTTGCTAGGCAACAAGCCACTCCATTGTGCTACTTGTTCAAAAGTTTGGCTTCCACAGATCTCTTTATTTTTGGTTTGGTTATTTTTGTGACATGAGGGAGATTTAGAAAAGAAAATTATTTTCTAATGGAAGCATGGAGGAAGAAAGTTATTTTTCTTGTCATTATTGCATGACAGGTGCTTTGCGCATCATTAGAGTGCATTCTCAAGTGTTACATAATGCATTCCAATAGTGCCGTATATATTGCGGGAGTTGTTGATTAAACTCATTCTCGGTTGAGCAGCTGTGACCTGCCTTCCCTCAACCCGTCCATCCCCACAAACAAGCCTGTGACAGGATTCTTAAATATAGACTTGATCGGGAAAGAGGGGGGCGTGGCCCTTGTCCAACACCCAAGTTGCCCCCACGGTTCCTCTGCAAGGTGGGGGTTTTACGTGGCCACCGAGTGCTGAACTGTAAAGTTCAGAACAACATTGGGCGACAAACTAGTTTAAGAATCCCTGACTTTACATATTCAAATTCTTGATGAATATTCAAATCACCCGTGCTTATTTGTTTCTAGATTGAGGTTTTATCTTGGGTTAGCCCCTTACAGTATTAATTAAAAAAAGAAGTTACCACAGAAAGCACGGTTTGCTGCTTTGTTGACCTATGTCCATACCATTTGCGGGTACTGAAAGCAACTTTGGATGCTTTCTTGATTTCAATATCCATCCCATTTCTGGGTATCGGAAGCAAATCGGGTTACTTTTTCAATTTTCATGCCCTCCCCATTTGTGGGCACCGAGAGCAACTTCCTAAATTCCAGATAAATGGATGAAGCTGTCTGACAGCCTCAGCAACCTCAACCTGCAACACATCTCACCCTCAATCTTCTCCCGATGTACTCACATCAGCAAAAGTGCCATCCACTACAAAAACAATACATTTCTTCCTGGAGAAAGTGGGAGTTGTAGGCCTCCTCCAAGACCAGGGTGCCAGTCTTTCCAATAGAGCTACTTGATTTCTCCCTGTACATATCTTCACTCCTCCCAAGTATACACAAATCTGCAGTATACACAGCATCAGCCACAGTCAACTAACCCTCATAGTTAAGCTGGAGTATCATCACCTACAGATAGCCTGTTGGTCAAGACGGCACTACAAGGCTACAGGAGTTTAACAGCATCAACTCTACTGACAAAAGTGCCTGTAACACCTGAGGTAATGGCAAGTTTGTACAGAGCGTACAGGCACTGTGATGCAGGGCTGGATGACTTACAAATAC